TCAGAAATTTAAATATCTGGGAAGTCTTTTAACAGATGATAGAAAATATGACACTGAAATTTAAAGGCACATTGAAATAGCAAAAATTGCCTTCCAGAAGCTAAGTAAACTATTAAGAAATAGGAAAATATTGTTAGAAATAAAGAAAAGATCGCTTAACTACGATGTAATATCAATCCTTCTATATGGCAGTGATGACTGGACAATTTCCTCAGATGAAAAAGAGAACTGAGACAATAGAAATGTGGTGCTACAGAAAGATGCTGAGAATACCATGGACAGAACATGTGAGAAACAAGGAAGTTTTAAGGAAAATGGAAATGAAAAGGATACTTAAAATCAGAAAGTGACAGTTGAAATTTCTGAGACACATAATGAGGAAAGAGGGTTTGGAGTATTTAACACGCATAGGATTTATTGAAGTCAAGACCAGCAGAGGAAAACAGCAAGTAACCTCTCTAAAAATCTCATTCATGCACCCACTACATACATATGAGTTAAATTTCCTGAGACACTTAATGCAGAAAGAGAGCTTGGAGTAGTTAACATTCAACAGACATATTGAGCAGAGGAGAAACAACAAATAACCAAGCTAACAAGCTTTTGTAAATTGATAGGAGAACAGGGAATAGCAGGGATATCAAACCAGGTTTTCTCCTATCATCACTAAACTGGATCCCCACAAAACATGTAGACTTGATAATATCCCTGCAATAATTTTTTAAGAAATGTGTTGCTGAACTGTCTCCTGTTCTCTCTAAACTCTACAATAAATGCATTGCTGTTTCTTACTTTCCTGCTTGTTGGAAATCCTCTTCTGTAGTTCCATTCTTTAAGATCTCTGGTGAACAGTCTGATTTTTCTGTCTGTCTATTAGCCTTCTGCTTCTTTTTGGCAAAGTAGTAGTAGCTCTAATTAACTCTATATTGATTAAGCATCTCGCATCACAGGGTCCTCTTTCAGACAAGCAATATGGCTTTTGCTTCTCTAGGTCAACTGCTGATGTATTAATGATTATTGCTAAAAGTGGCTATCAAGCTTTAGATAAGAATGGTCAAGCTCAGGCTGATGCTTTGGATATCTAAAAGGCATTTGTCAGAGTTTAGCATGCTGGTCTTCTTCACAAGTTGAAAGCTTATGGTATTTCTCAATGAATTTTTAAACTGCTTCAACCTTTCTTATCAAATCACAAAATGAAAGTTGTCTTGAATGGCCACTCTTCTAGATCCTTTTGCATTAATGTGGGTGTCCCCCACTAATTTTCATCAATGACCTTTCTGATATCATCAGTTTCTCAACTTTATGTTGATGATGCAACTATCTTAATAGTAAATGTGAACAGTTCAATATGGTCAAATTGGCAGCTGATCTCAAAAATGACCTACAATTTGTTAACTAGGGCAAGAAATGGCTTGTTAATTTTAATATCTCCAAAATGAAATTGTTCTCTTTTGTCTTAAAGAATATTTTTTGCCTTCCATCAGCATGGCTAATGCTAACCTCCAGGAAAGTGACATCTTGGGTTAACATTTTCTGCTGACATGAAGTGGAAAGATGATATTGAATCAAATGCTAGGCCTGCTGCTAGGAAAGTTGGTTCACTGTATTGTGCTAAGCAATTTTTTCTCACCAGAAACTATCTTATACATTTATAAGTTTAACATTTGGCCATGCACTGAATATTGCTGCCACATATGGTTTGGTGCTTCAGTTATCTATTTAGAGATTCTTAATAAAATCCAAAGAATCTGCAATATTATTAATACTGACCTGACATCTCAACCTCAGTATCTTTCACACCACCATAATATAGCTTCCCTGGGCCTTTTCTATAAATATTTTCATGGTAATGTTTTGATGAGCTTTCCTCATTTGTATCTTAACAAATTTAAGCACAGTACTCGATTGGTAACTAGTTCTCATCATTTTACACTTGAAATGGCTAGATGAAACTGTAAGTTCTATGCTAACATTTTCTTTTCTCACACTTATCACTTGTGGAACTCTCTTCTGGCTTCTTGCTTTCCAGTCAACTTTGACCTTCAAAAATGTAAATGTAATATCAAAATGTAATGTCAATTGTTATCTTCTGTCTTCTTAATTCCTGTTCTTTTATTGTTCTCTCACCTTAACAATGCTTTTATTTTTCACATATTCTTGCACATTTAGTAACTCTTTGAGTCTTAAGGGCTTTATTTTCTTGCTCAGGCTGAAATGATTAAAAAGAAAACATGCTTTTTAATGAGCATTGATAAAATAGCTGGCCGCTTAAGAGGAATTATACCATTTTTTTTTTTTCGTCTTTGGGTTTTTTTTAACAGTTAATTTCAACTTGTCTCTGCTTCTTCAAGCTATTTTTTCTTCAATTCTTTTCTTAACACTACAACTAGCTTCATCATACACAGAATAAAAATTAATCAAATGTAACAAACATATCACTTACCCATGATCGGAATTTATTGTGAGAAAAATTATTAAACAAAAGAGAACAAAAAGCGATGAACAGGTTGGAATAACCAGACAAGTTGGGGGTGAGGGGAGATCAACCAAGGCATCATGAGTGGGAGTTTGAAATAAGATCAGGTGCGTTGTGGGTTGGGTGGAATAATCAAAATTTAAATGGCTGGCCAACGCTCAGCTATTCTGTGAAATATGAAAGTGTATTTATGTTGGAAACCTTTAGCTGAAATATTAATATCTTACGAAAAATCTAGATCGGTTAGGAAAATGGCAAACCATGTGTCAAATTCAATCCAATACTGAGTAAGAAATTGTCAGTCAGCCGAGAAGGCCAGTGCTTCAAAAGTACCAGTGTGGGTGTTGCTTTTTTAGTGCCCCACCTTTCAGTTCATCTCAGGGTTGATATAAATTACAATAAGATAACAGCCAAATATGGGTTTTGCTGTAAAAAGATCTACTGCCTTTCTCTTCCACCAGAAATAGAGAAAGAAAAGGTTTTTACCATTTAATCTTCTGGAGATATGTTTTAGTTGATGGTTTTGGAGTTTCTCCAGAAAGCTTCTTATTCAGCCACCAGCCATGAAAGTTGATAACACATTTTTTTTTTATTTCCTCCCCCATTGTGTTTGCTATGACAGTCATTTAATACCTGCCTTAACAGAAGATAAGTTGTTAATTCTCTCAAAGGTTTTATGGAGTCATTAAAAATAAAAATTGTAAAGTAATTTCTTATATATGATAAAATATAGTTTTAAGGTATGCTATATTTATAGGATAAAGTGCTCAATATCAAGGATGGAGTGTATTTAATATAAAAATGAACATTGAAGTCAACAACCAGTGGCCACAGTCTGTTTCATGCTTATTCACAATTGCATATAAACAGACTGTCACCACTAGGTGTTGACTTCAATATCCATATATATATATATATATATATATATATATATATATATATAATTTTTATATACAGACAAAACAACTTACTGCAAAGATGCATTCTTGTTTCAATGTGTGTGCATCTCAACTGGTGAGAACCATCCATTTTGGTTCTCATCAGTCGAGATGCATGCACATTGAAACAAGAAAGCATCTTTGTAGTGAGTAAGTTGTTTTGTCTGGATGTAAAAATTATAATAAATAATTATTGCTCTACACTTGGTATTGAGCCTTTTTTTGAATTAATGCTGTGAACATTAGAATTTATATTTTCATTCTCATTACATTCATATATATTCATCAGGTGGTTGAAAAGTCAGTCAAAACATATGGAAAACACAAAGTCCCATAATCCAAAGTCTTGCAAGGCAAATGTGAGTAATATTCAAGAATTTTTTTTTTTTTAAATAAATGAATATTGTTTTAATTGTAATCAGACTGTTGTGGCTTGGAATGTCCAGATATGCTGTACATCTTCAGAAATATGAGGTAATAGATTTAACCATTTTCTTCAAATTTTTTTTTTTAATATTTTTATGATCAAAGAAAATGGTTAAGTCCATCACCTCCTGTTTTTGAACGTGTACACCATATACATCCATCCCAAGCCATAACAATATGATCACAATCTAAACAATATTCATTTATTTAAAAACAAATAAAAATATTTCTTGAATATTACCCGCTTACTTTTGTCTTACAAGACTTTGAATTATGGCACTTAGTTTTATAAATTTCAACCAACACACTGGCTGTTGGGTCAGAGAAAGAGAAGATATTAATTAGAAAGGACAATAAAAAAACAGGTTTTCAAGAAGGCAGTAGATGATGATTGATACTGCATTTAAATTTTTGTAGATCATAGGTCACAGGGAAACAAGGAACTAGAAGAGAGTTCCATAGGTGAGAAGTACAAGAAAAGAAGCTATTAGAATAGAACTTCTATTTCAACAGTTAACTGGTGAGAACTAGTTACCAGTTTAGTAGTACACTTAAATTCATGCAGTTGATGTACCAAGGAGAGAGCTCATTAGAAAATGTTAATAGAAAAGACGGAGAGAAGCTACATTACAGCAATGGGGAAATGACTGAAGACAAGATGCCATCTCAGGACTCATAACATCACAGATCCACAGATATATGGCAGGAGGACCAAAGCAGCAATATTCAATGCACAAAAGAATGGTAGATTTATAAACGAGGAAGATGGATTCTGGCAAGAAAAACTGCTGAGCACAATACAGTGAACCAACTTTCCTAGAAGCAGACCTAACAATTGATTCAATATAATTATTCCCCTTCATGTCAGTAGAAAACATGAGACCAAGAAGGTGCAAGGAGTTGCTCTCCTGCAGGTTAGCATTAGCCATGATGATGGAAAGTAGGAAGAGTTCTTTATGATGATTAAAGGAGAGAAGTTTCATTTTGGAAGTGTCAAAAATTACAAGCCGTTTTTTGTTTCAGTTAACAACTAATTGAAGCTCATTTTCGAGATCAGCTGCCAGTTTTACTTTGTCAGGTTGACAAATAGCTTAAATGATTTCCTTAGTCACAGCAGATAAATTCTTTTATTAATTTTCTCTTTTTTTCTCTAATTCTAGACTTTACCATGCTGACTTCGGAGAACGGCTGCTAAGTAGTTTCCCCAGTGTCAGAGATCAGCAGGATTCAGATATTTTCAAGAATGTGGACCAGTTGATAAAGAAAGTGGAACTTTGCTCAAATGAGCTCAAACAGACTTTAGACTTGGTTTTTAAAACCCTTGATAATCTGCTGCGACAGGAGAATTCACCCCCTTCATACTTGTCACCAAATTTTGCCTGAAAAATCTCTAGGCTGTCCAATTTGGCTGAGCACACATCTTGGTAACACCTTAAAACAACAGCATTTTTTTAATCATTTACTCAGTCCTTCTCATTAGAGTTTCATAATTCTTGTTTTATTCGGCAACTTTTTTATTTTTTTTTAACCTGGCTTCATTTCTCTAACTTTCTTTTCTAATTATTCCCATAGTTCATAACAACAATTATGGGATCATCTATGTATGGATCAGCAATTCTAACCAGGATCAAAGTGTAATATGTGTATGCTTTGTTTAGGATCAATGTGTTAATCAAGGTTACTTCTGCCTAAGATCAGAGTGTAATATTTGCACACTATCTATGATCAGTGTTTCATTCCCCAACGCATGTCAAGGAACAGAGTATCACGCATGCACGCACACATGGTCGAGACATTAAAACAACTACATTTCGACCATAAGACCCAGGCTCAAATCTTACCATGATCAATTTGTCATGTTGATTTCTTAATAACATCCCATTTCTCATATGTTCACCAAAGGTAAGCCATGTTGAACTTGGTCAGTACCTAGATGGGTGACAATTTGTGAATACCAGGTGCTGTTGAATATACAAGTGCTGTGATGGATAATGGCTCTAAATTGGAAATCGGAGCCAAATTCCAATTCCTGTTGAGTTATATTCACTTACATGCAAATATCCTTGGGAAAGGCATGAATCCACCACTTCCTGCTCACTAGCTATGGTTTAATTAGTAAATTATTATTATCTCCAAACAATTATAATATAAAAAAAATATTTTTTGGCTTTAAATAAATTACAAAAGTTTGATTTATTTTTTATGGCTTATCAACCTTGATAATATCAACCTGGGGAGGCAATCACAGCTGTTGGGAAGTGTCTAAAAACCACACCCTGGTTTGACTCTAGCCTTGCGAATGAAAATCATAGCCATTCAGAAGACATCAATGGTTATGCTAGTATGAAGTCGCAAGTCATTGTGACTGAGGGTTTGAGTGTGCTGGTGTTGTTCAAAGCTGTTGATTATGCCAGTTTATGCACTCTCCCTCAGAAACTATAACGAAGGTCTTCTCAGCAGAGTTACAGTATAAGCCACAAGTTGTCTCTCCGTTGAATAAACATGGATGTGTCTAAGCAATCATCTGCAAGAGGGATTAGCTAGCCACCCTAGCATGTAGATATACTCAGAAACAAGCAGCCACCTAATATGTGGTGATTGCCACATCTTCCTCAGATGATAGCCACCCCGTCACCCCTCATATCATTTGTGATAGCTTCCATCTTGTTTTGGCATCAATGGCTCCTAAGATGACTCTTGAGACTAGCATTCAATTTCATAGGCATCAGGCCTATAAATGGCAGATAAACTGTGTATTCTTAATTGGTCTGATTGGATCTGGAGACCTTCTACTCTCATGCGTACAACCATGTGCTTCCTCGGTCCAGATGACAAGATGATTTACATAATAGAATATACACACACACACATACCACATTTCCTAGACTGCATTGGAAAATAAGAGTGAGTGCCTCTTCAGAGATCACGCTTGATCAGAGCATGCCTAAAGCATTCATCCTCAAGGGTGTGTTGTATCCTTCTCTTATAAAGTGCCAATACACACACATATATATATATATTTTTATATCATAAACACACAATTTATACAAAAAATTAAATAGCAATCTTAATGTGATTTATGACAAAATCACTTCACTAACAGAACAATGAGACCTTAACTGACTATCAGTTCCTTGAATAATAAGATCCTTATATTCAAGTTGTTGTCAGATGGAAGACACATGCCAAGCACTTTTGACAATTTCAAATTGTCATCTTCAGGGTGTAATTTTCTTATATATACACAAATGTTAAGATAATGTGTAGACCGAAAGATGTTTTTTTTAAATGATGTTCTTTATTAACAGTTGTATATATGTTACAGAATGTGCAATGTCACAAGACTAGAGTTTTTGTTCAAATCGGTCAAGTGAGAATTTTTATTTTAATTTTGAAAATTTAATCACATTAACATTGGTATTTAATTCTTTGTATAAATTGTTTCTTTATGATATAAAATATAAGCTGCATACATACATACATACATATACATACATATATATATATATATATATATATATATATATATATATATATATATATATGCACAAATACTTCTTACACAGATTTAATACCAATGTCATAGTAAAAAAAATATGCAGATTGTAAACAAAAATGACCCCCACCCACAACACAAGGCACTAGACACCTTCAAAAGAGACTTAGTAAGAAACATAAAATTTCATCAACAACTCAACACATTCCAGAATAAACTAAAACACGATATAACCAAGATAAACAATTCACCTAATATATTTATCCCTGCCAACCAAAATGGAAATTTATATGAACTAAGCAATTACCCCCCCCTTGCAAAACACAAGTAATTACTCAAGGACAACATAACTAAAACCTACAGAGAAGCACCCCAAAACACAGAATATATTAACATGAAAACTAAAAACGTTGCCCAAACATTAAATCTAGATGACCAAATAAACAACATTGCTAAAACATAAGCATTCATTACTCAAAAAGACCACAAAAAAAAAACATGTAAATTCATAGACCCAACTAAAAGTGAACAAGATAAAATAAATCAAATAAAAACAGAATCATCTCAGAATGAAGTTAAGAGCAAACCAATTGAAAATGCAAAAACAATAATCGACTAGTTCCATAATCTAAAATACAAACATAATTGTGAATTTATGCGACTAGATAGAAAAGAATTCAACCTTTCAATAATCAAATCAATGATAGAGAAAGCCATCTTCTTAACTCAGGAAAACATAAAAATAAGCTCAGACAAAAAAAAATCATCAAGCACTTCTGAAGATCACTATTATTTGACAATAAAGTTGTTTGACTAAAGAAACGCACTGATGGAACATTTGATGTTTCATTGAGAAGTTTTGACATATCCAAAATCTGCAAGCTAATAGGAAAATATTTTCTATATGAACTAAGCAAAATAATTGACAAAAATGGCACCCAGGCCTGTTTAGGATCAATGGTCTTATAAGAAACACTAACAGACAAAACCAGAAAATTAATCAAAAAAATCTTCAAAAATATAAGATTTGACATTGACATAAAAACAAACCTAAAAGAAGTAGATTTCCTCAATCTCACTTTCAAATTTAGAAAAGGTACATAAATTTATATAAACCCAACAACAAACCACTTTACATGCATACATCTTCCAACCACCCACCAACAATGATTAAGCAGATCTTCAATGGAGTTCTCTGTTAATAAGGCTTAATGACAAACATTTTTCTCAAGGTAAATTGGAAGTATGAGTCCAGGTTAAAAAAAAAAGAAAATGTCCTTAACATTTACCCAAAGAAGGCATCATAGTGACAAGTAAATTTAAAACAAGAATGTTTCAGTTCTTCCTCCCTCCATTTCAGTGCAGAAATAAACAGTATTTTACTTTGATAATCAAGAAGAGGCATATTACCCCAAATCCTCCAGGATTTGACTGGATATTTAAAAAAAAGAAAGAATGAAAATGGAAACCTCCTCAAAAATCATTGTAAATAAGGACAACAATGCAGCAACTATAGACTTCATCTCATGCCAAATTTTAGCAATTTTACAATTTGGGAAAAAATTTATATTCAAGATTTTTTTTTTTTTCAATCTGAAAGAAGCAGACAACGAAATCAATCATTAATTTTGCTTATCAGCTTTTTGTAAAATAAAAATTTTAAATTCATGGTATCTTTCTCTTATTTCAATTTTTTGGAAACCAGTGAAAACATATTATTAATAAGAGTTCCTTCTTTTTTCTTTCTTTGCTTTTTTTTTTTCTTCTCTCTTTGTTTTTTTTTTTTTCTGTTTTTTCTCTTTGTTTTTTTTCTTTGTTTTTTTTTCTCTCTCTCGTTTTTTTTTTCTTTCTGTCATTGTTTTTTCTTTTTTTCTTAAGGTTGGTTATGAGCTCTTCCAGTGAGCCTGCTTCTTGTCTAATAGTATCTAACACTGCATCATTTGTATTGCAGTCTATGTACGAGATGCCTCGGATGGTTCTACAGCATCTGATTTCTAATGCTTGAATTCTTTGCTGTAGTTCTATTGTAAATTTCCAAGATTCACAGATGTACAGAAAGAATGTACACAATAGTCCAATCTTTGATTCAAAACAGATCTTCTTGTCGTTCCAGATGGTTCTCAGTTTCACAACAGCTGCAATTGTTTGTGCTGCTCTTGAAATTCTTCCTATAATGATGTTTCAGGGAGCAAAACATCTTTCTAATTGAAACCAGTCAAATTATCATCATTTCCCCCATATTCCAATTGTAAGGAGGAAGTTCTACTCAGGCAGCTTTTTGCCAAGAACTGATACTTTGTGGAACAGACTCCTATATGGATGTTTCTTTACAATCTTAACCTCTTGAAGTCAAAAGTTAACCATTATCTAATCTTCCCATCCTCAGAATCTTCACTTCCTACCACTCTTCTTTCATTTAAATCATGTAAACAATTTCATGGTAATCCTCTACGTTGAGTGGCTCTCGTGCTTTGTATTGGGTACACTTTAGAATAAATAAAAAAAGGTGAAAAAACATTTTTTGCCATATAACAAATATTTTTTATCATTGCTGTTTTAGAACATTTTTTTTTTCTCAGACAGTCGACCAGTTCCCTTCATGGTGTACAGGGTTCTTGTGTAGCTGATTAGAACAGCATTTCTCAATTGGTGCACTTGGGTGCAAGAATATGCCCTAAATGGTATCCAGGTGGACCCCAAGTTAGCAGAACTTATGAATTATTTTTATATTTTAAAAAGAAAATATTTATTTTTCAAAAGCTAGAGACAGCAAGCACATGGCTTCCATGTCTAAGTCAAATCTTTATCATTTGATATTTTAAACTGGATGGACAGTGATACATCATGCCACATCAGGACCATCCAGAAGACCTTAATATCTTCCTTT